ACTCATCTAAAACGAAAACAATTTTGCAGGTCCTTGGTTTTGAGTGGTTACTACTGCAAAAGCAAATGGTGAGGAAGTTCCATTTCCAGTTTTGGAAAGCTGTTAAGAAGGTTTTTTTTCTGTTGTAATGCATTTGATCTTGTATCTCTCTAGCCACAGGAGGACTTGCATCCCATAGGATGGATAATTAATTATATTTGGTTACATACAAGACTGACTGCTATGATATTTTTTGCATACTTTTTTGTACTTTAAAAAAAAAAAGTTTATTTTATTTTTCACTGCTAGAGAACCTGTTTAAAAAGCTGCCTTTATTTTCCTTTACAAAATATCACACACCCATCTGTCACTTTTTATGTAGGTATTTTTCAGCACTGTCACAATAATTTCAAAGCAGACAAAATAATGTATATGTTTAGTTACCAGGAGTCCAACAAGATACTATTCACACTCAATACTTTGATTTTCTAGCTTGAATAGTCAAATATATATTCTCTTGCATGACTATTAATTCTGTGTTGTGAGAAGATGCCACAGGAAATATAAGTGAGGTTAATATAATGTGTTCCCTGCGATTCCAATGTCCAGAATACAGAAAATTAGACGAATCATCTCAAATGCTGCACATCCAGTACCTATGCCAATATTTCTAGCAGAGCACAAGCTAGAAAATGTAATCTACAAGGTGGTTTGTCAAAGATTCCACTTTAAAACTGAAATTCCAGTCAGCAAGTTGTACCTTATAAAATCACTTTATTAATAGTCAATGTCACATTAGGATGACTACTCAGTAACTTGCTAAAAGGAGAGGCCAACCAGCTACAGGGCAACTGTAGAGTTCAAAGCAGTGAAGGGAGGGAAATGGGAAGGGAAAAAACCAACACTACAAGTAAAAACACATTGCCCCTCTCCTAAAAAAAGTACACTACTAATCCTTCTGAAAATATTCAAAGTAATACTATGAAGCAGTATTGCAGGAGAGTCTGGAGCACATGTTCTATGAGGAACAGCTGAGGGAGCAGGGGGTGGTGAGCCTGGAGAAAAGGAGGCTCAAATTCCCTCCAAAATGCCTGAAAGGATGTTGGAGCCAGGTAAGGGTGAGTCTCTTCTACCATGTCTCAGTGGAAAAGACAAGAGGAAATGGCCTTAAGTAGCATCAGGAGAGATTCAGATTAGATACTAGAAATATTTTCTTCACTGAAAGAGCAGTCAGGCATTGGAATAATGTCCAAGGAGGTGATGGAGCCACCATCTCTACAAGTTTCCAAGAGGCAACTATATGTGGCACTTAGGGACAGGGGTGCTGAGTTGATGGTTGGACTTGATGACCTTGAAGGTCTCTTCCAACCTTGATGATTCTGTGAAGCAGTTACATACATGAAATAATGAGACTCATATTTTAAAAATATAAAGCAAATTTATATATGTATACTAATGATGTTGAGGTGAGTTTTGGTTTCTGGTGTTTCTTTTTTTTCCACAATATAAAACACATACATGTCTCTTCCTGCAGCTTTTTTCTTCTAAAGTAAGGGTCAGCATTTGAAATCTATTTATCCTGAAGCAAACCTGAAGCCCTTTCCAAAATATCCATTCTAAATTCTGTTGCAGAACAGCCATAAGTTATGCACTTCCAAGGGCTTTTTCAAAGTAATTATTGCATGTGTTCTTTGAAAACAACATCTGATTTGTGTCCATCACACCTATAGGGGGGACTCTGAAACTTAGTTAAAAAAGAAACACTTGTGATGATGATGGAAACCAACATCACTTTAATGCTGCAATGGAATGTCTTTCTCAGATGTGTTTTGACTGGTTCATAAAGAAACTCTTAAATATAACTGTCTATTTTAATAATTAAATGTGTGGTTGGAACAGCAATGTACATACCAAAACAGCGAAGTGGATTTCAGTAATTATGTAAAAACCTGAGGGAACAAAAACTCAGTACTTTTTATCTTTACAATTTAAGCTGTTTTGAGCATCTAGAGACCAGTCCGTCCCTTTATTCAAAACCAATAAATAAAGCAATCAACCAACCAACCAAATCCAAACATACCTTCAACACTGTTATGCAATTTGTTTTTATGAGGAACATCCTTCAATCTACCTTCATTTTCAAAGATTTTCTACTGAAAGAAATGTATATATTTTCTTATTGCAAAGGATGAGACCCTAGATTACTATTAAGGGACTTCAGTGTTTTGGCTGGAGAACTTTTGCTTGGAAAGAACCTAGAAAGCTTCAGTACAAGAGCTGTCACTAAAGTAAGCATTAGAATGTTTCAGTTTACACATCTCTGTTCTCCAGGTGTGGTTTAGAACAAGCACCATCTATCTGACTGTTCAATATTCAGCAGGAATCTGACAGACAGATCTTGCATAAAATAGGGACAAATGTTACTTTCTGCTCAGTGAAGTGAGCTCAGTTCTCACTTTAAGTTAAGAGATCCTTGACAGTGTTATCCCTGACAATATTCTCAGATCTTAAAAATTAAATATTTAAAGATTTAATAAAAGATAATTACTGAACTGCAGAAAACACAAATTCAGTTCAGCAAAACATTTGGTGTGGAAAAATAAACTACAGGAACAAGTCAGTGCTCTGTCACAGTGTAATAGATGTGCCATTTATTCAGTCAGAGCTGTGGTCAGTATTTCCATTAAAAAACTTCTTCACCACGAATTTATTATGGGAGTTACTAAGCAGTTACCTCAAGCTGACTTGGCAGACAAAACTTCCTTTAAATTCAAAGAGCTCTTCTAATACTTAAAAGAGAAAAAGAAAAAAGAAAAAGCCTGTTGCATCTTTTCACAAACACAAGACTGCTATCAAAAGTGTGTTTTCTACTTTTAATTCCCACCATCAGAAGCATTTCTCCACCAGGTAAGTCTTCCTAATGGTTGGTCCATTTTCCCTTTTCTGTATTTCAATCTGCCAGTCACAGTTTTATTTTTGACTGCCTCACTAAGCATCCTTGAAATATCAGGAAATTTCACTGCTCAACTAGACCCGCACTTGCCAAATTCTGCAGCTGCTGGTCAAGTTACACAGACAGACAAAAAAAAAGTCCCCAATAACTTGAAGTTACATCTGTAGATCCAATTCACTGACTTCAGGAAGGTAAAATACTGTATTTTGGAGGACACTGTGGCAATAGAAGCTAAAAGTCATAATAAACTTTGAAATGGCTTACAACAATAGCTGAATAGGTAGCATCATTCAAACTTGTAGACTTCCTTTTAGGAAGCAACAGAATGCAACACATTTCCTTTCTTCTAAAACTAAAATGCATTTCTTCAATAAATAACAAAACAAACAAGGAAAAAACAAAACCAACAATCCCCAAATCAAATAACCAAACAAAAAAACTAAACCAACCAACAGAAAAAAACCCAAACAAACCAAACAAAAAAATCCCACTAAACCAAAAAAACTCCACAAAAAACACACAACCACAAATACCCCCTAGAACGAAGAAAACCAAACAAAAACCCCCCAACAAAACACAAAACAAGCCCCACAAACAAAAGAAACCCCAAACCAAACAAGACCCTGAAAAACCCTACTTCTTCCCCAAAAAACCTAAAACATATAATCCTCTACAGCTAAGACTATTCTTAACACAGCAGGTGAACATAACTACCTTAGGCCTGGCTACAATTTTCCAGGGCACAACAATGAACATTATTTTCCCACCTTTTACACAGATAATTAGTACTTTCTCACTCTCCTAGCTCCCTTCAGCATTAAGGTAACAGGAACAAAAAAATGTGTTTTTTCAAGTGTTGGCATAGGAAAAGTATTTTGCCTTTAATCCAAGGAGGTATGGCAGTTATGTTCCTCCACACATGCACCTTGGAAAGCTAACCAGGGAAGTCTTTTAAAGCATAGCAATCAACTGAGAGTAATATGACATCTCAAACAACAACCTTGAGTTTCATAGGTCAGACTAGTTTGGAACAACATAGTCACAAGGGAACTACTGATCTTCACTGCTGTGCTAAGCCAAGGTGAAAACTTAGCCTTTGATTATGTACCAAGGTACACAAGTTGACTAATTGGATTCAGTTCAAGACAGCAAAAAGGTCTCCTTCACAAGAAAAACAGCCAGTCAAATTGATTCAAAGAAACTTTGTTCTACCAGGCTACAAGTATTGGCCTAAAAAAACCCCACATAAAGTGTGTGAAGTAAGGAGAAAAGGAATCCACTAACATAGCAATACTTATCTAGACATTAAATAAACCATGTATTTTATAAATCTTGAATTACTATGTTGGCAATACAGTAGCTAGCAAAGCAGCAAATGAGTCTCAATAAACTAAAGGATGACTAGTAATCAAGTGCTAACTTGATTACCCTTAATTAATCTGACCAGTAGTTAAAAAGAAGTCACCTTTAGTACTCCAACAAATCTCAGATATTTGTATTTTGAAAGCACACATTCCCTTTCTTTTTTGTTGTGTTTTAATATTTTCTAAATAGGTCAACCTGGAATCTTAGCACAGTGACTTTTTTCAAGCCCTAAAGCTACATCTTGAAATTAGCCTTCAGAGTCCCCAGCTTTCAGGTCTAGGGACATCCTTATATACTTCAGCAAGATTTCTGATCAGGACAACTAAGGGAACAAGGCCACAGGGCACAACACACTGTACCACATACCATGTTGTATGTACAATTGCTCTGTAATTAGAAACAGACTAACCAAATACAAATAGGAACAACTGGCTTATTTTAAATTCTCTGCATCAGAGAAGCACTGGTTTTGCATTGCATTTTTCAAAAATGCTCCATATTAAATGAAAAAAAATAAATTTAAAGCAAGACAACACTTACCATAGTAAAAGAATTAGAGGGAAGACAGTAATGATCACCATTTCAGCTGAACTCCAAATGTCCTACACCATTTCGCTTTAGGTTATAACAGCCCCAAATTCTACCTTAAAGCATTCTTGGCACAAGCAACTTCATATGAGACCAACAGCAAGCAATTACTAACCTTTCTACATTGACTGGCTTGTCAAATTTAAAGAGAATATAATCTCCAGCAACTGGTGTGACAGCCCAGAAAAAATCTTCCCCTACGTAGGTTTTTTCTAGCGTATGCCCCTGGTAGACTTTTAAAGATGTCGAAACCTCTGCAGGTGGATTCACGTGGATTTTATGCAGTAATGGTTTCAGGAAGTCTTTATCCTAATTGAAAGACAGACAAACATCATGCTGGTCAGACAACCTTGTTTATTATGTTCCTTTCGCAAGCGGTTACACTTAAACATTGGCATAAAATGGAAAATGAATGCATTACTCATTTTGGTACAACAGATCTTATAAAAAATTAGAAGAAATATCTCCTAGCAAAAATCCACATAAATAAACTGGAGTAGCACTTCTACTTTATAGTAACCAGTCTGTATCAGATTTAATTCCAGCTGGAGCAATACACATCATGCTTGAAAATGCAAGGCAAGAAAAGGCCTGTTTTCTCCATTGCCATAACGTTTTTCATTTAATCAGCCTGCTCTGTAATGGAAGGGAAATATTGTCTACTAACTGTGAGTTTCTGGATCTTCCCTGCTAGAGAAGAGTGGAGGCCAACATGCTGGAAAAGAGAAGGCCTGAAGCGTATCCGTAGGTTAGATTTCTGTCGATCACAATGTTTCTGAAATGGTGGGGAGAAAAGGTAAGGGTGGGATAAAAAACAGAACAACACATTAGTAAAAACCAACACAAGGTAAGAACCTAGGCCTATTTATCCAGTTTTTCTTGTTCTCATTCCAGAAGTCCACCAAGACTGCTGTGCAAATGTAATACTGTTCAAGGTCCTTGCACAGAACCTGTTTATTCAACAAGGGCATTTCTTGAGAAATGAAGGACCAAAACAAGAAGTTTATTCCCCATTTGGAACTTTCTCCAAGACAGCTACCCAAGCAGCAACATTCTGCAGCACTTCATGACTGGTTACACATACAAGTTTATTTGAGGTCTGTTACACATAGAATCTAACTAGACTTCTGCATTTTATCCTTAACGCACCCATCTCCAAAATCTGAAGCAATAACAGCTATAATGTCCCTGAGAACTGTCCCTCTAAAGCTTTTTTTGAGATAAAAATCTTGGCAGGAAGACTCTTCCAGAACATGCAGTAACCATTATGTACACTATGCTGGCTTTCAGCTCACAAAAATCAACTCATTCATCATCATGAAAACATTTTAGAAGCTTTATAATAAAAACAAACTTACAGCATCTTTCTCAGGGTTACACACTTTCACCCAGAGGATATGGTCCAGGAGCCAATCAATAGGTTTCTCCTTATAAAACATAAATATGAACTCTACAATAAGAGTGATATCTGGAGACTGGAACATTTTACCTGTGGGTGACATTAAGAATAACTGGAGTTACTTTAGATTAAAGATAACATTGTCTTTTGAAATCAGTGAGATAGCAGATGATAACATTTGTGCCAAGACAAGAAATGTTAGCACTGAACAACTTGAAATTTCAATGTTATTAAAGGTCAGTACCTTTCAACTAAATAAAACAACTATTCAAACAAGAACTTGTCATATATCTTGGTGCTATAAAAACATTCAGTGTATATTCTATGTACCACAATACAGTCTTCTTAATAAGAGAAATTGTCAGTTTGAAAAATTATGAGAAAGAAGAGGATTATGGATTGGCATTTATTACTCCCCTTGTCATGTGAAAGTTAAAGCACCTGAGACAAGGAGTATTGCGAGTGTTACCTGCCCAGTCACACAATCACAGCTTCTGCAGGTACAAAAAGCAGGGATGCAACACCTACCACTAACTTCAGAACCTTCTGGGCAGGAAACCAGAGGGAAAGAAGGAAGCTACCAGAACATATCCAGAGACAATGCAACTCAAGAAGAGACATCTCACAGTGACCAGAGTTATTTTCTGCGGGGCATAGGCCATCAGCAGGACTTCTGGGTGGCGCTGTGCAAAAGGATTCTTGGGAATCCTGCAGACTGTGAGGCTTAAAGGGGGCCTTTGCAAAAGAAGGAAATACTGTTGATGAGGAAAGTCTATTTATTATCAACATGAGCAATCACCTACATGGTTGTGGAATACCCTTGTCAGGCAGTAACGGTGTCTGAAGTGAAAGGTGGCCAGTACATGGGCTGTTGTGTCAATCTGAATGCTGCACTTCAAAAAGGTGCCTTGCATGAAAACACTACTACCGGAAGCAACACAACTGGGAGCAGGGCAGTCCAAGGCTGAAGACAGACTGGCAACTGCTTGTACCAGGGACTTCACTGAAGCACTGGAACTAGCTTCTGAGGGGAATGCTTAAGGCACCATCCCTGGAGGTATTTAAAAGACATGTAGATGTGGCACTTGGGGACATGGTTTAGTGGTAGATTTGGCAGCACTGAGTTAATGGTTTGACTTGATGATCTTTGAGGTCTTTTCCAACCAAAATGATTCTATGACCACATGCCTGCTAAAATCTCAAAGGCAGTTCCAGATTTCAAGGCAGATTCAGAAAACATCACTAGGTTTGCAGATGAAGTCTGAAGTCTTTGCTAGGTTACAATGGAGAAGGCAAGGAAGAAAGACATCATGAAACAATGAATCACTCAGGAAGACCAGCTGAAGTGATTCAGTGATTCAGTTCTGCAGATATTGCTGAGATCTGGGCAGTGCTGGACTAACCAGGGTTGGGCTCTTGGGGTATGTGCATCAATGGATCAGAGTCCAACAGAAGCTCTTTTCCAATGCAAGTCTTCTGTCTTTCCACATTTTGGAGTTCCATACAACACACTAACACACAACACTCAGGCATAGGAGATGTTTTGAGGGCTTTTTTCCACTTGTCGAGAGGCTGCCGTAAGCTTTCTAAGTAACAAGTTCCACCAGTGGTAGAAGTTCTAATATTTTCTCCTACTCTTAGGAAAACCAGCTGGAGTAGATGTTAAGAGGAGATCACTGGAAGAGCCTTGCCCTTTTCAGAAAGCAGGTCTGATGCAATCTCTTTTCTTTATAACTTGTGTGAAATTGGATAAGAACAAAGCCAGTGAAAGAATACTCAATGGAAACTCAGAGGAGTTTGGAGGTGTCTGAGTTAGACTACATCATTATGCCATACAACAAATACGGAAAAAGCATCTGACTAAAGTAACAATTATTTTACCTGTTAGAATGATGGTATACACATCACAGTAGACAATTTACACACTGGGGTGGAAAAGTAAATGTGCTAAAACATTAACTGATTTGACATTGCTACATCAAAGTTGTCCCTTACAGAAACTTTCCATCCAGTCCTTTACAAAGCAAAAATATTGTCATCACCTTTAAGTGGCTGTTGCAATGAGGTCCTCAAATAGGTATCTCCACATGAAAATACTCAGTATCTAAAATCTGAAACTCCCACTACACAAGGAACAATTCCTACTAAGGTACAGAAAATTGCAAAGTTTAATTATTAAAAGACTTAAGAAAGATAATATTATCTTTATTAGTACATTGTTAGTATTTACACATCATATTGTCACATTGTTTAACATTATTTGTGGAAGTAAATACTTAAAAATGGGCAGGAAACAATCACATGATTAGTTAAATGTTGTATAAAATAGTCATGCAGAGTAACAGCTTTCAGCTTGTCACTTCCAACTAAACAGACCCCAATTTTCCTGGTGATACATCTCTGCCTACTGCTTTCCATGGCATAGGGCAGGAGAACAGAAAAATACAGTAAGCTCTAAAAAAACACCAGCTAAAAAATGGGACCAATCAGATGTTTCTGGGATTTTTATGGGACTGGAACCATCATTTCTAGGTGACACTTGCTGAGGCAGTCTGTCAGTCACATCTATTTCCATAGGAAGTGCACCTTTCCACATGGTGTCAGAGAGATGAACAATACAATGAGAGTGAGAAGACTGAAATATCCCCACAATATTGCCCTAATCTCAATGCAAGTAGACCGAAGAGATAGTTTATCCTCTTCCAGGATCTATACACAGCCACGATGCTCTCCAATCCTTTTCTTCTTCTACCCAAGGACAGAAGAATCTCATTGACATTTTTTCCCTTGACTAGCTCATCTTCTGAAGAACATAATGTCTTTACTTATCCCCACTAACAGACCATGTTACTTAGAATTTGGCATGAAGGTACAGGATCCTACAATTAAGTAAACTGAGAACAAGACTGAAGGTAAGAGTAGGAATTTACTCTTATCTAATTTAAGTTTTTCTAATTTTATATAAAACAGGAACAGGATATCAATGAGTTATTTACTCCCATATGGCAAACTTATCTAGGCTCAGAGGCGGTTTCCTCTAGGCCAGCACCTATGTCCACCATGCAGTCAACCACCCCAGACTTGGGGAATAATCTAACTGCCATGGTGATGTCACAGGGCACACCAGGGAAAAACAAGCAAACAAATCCCAACCAACCAACCAAGCCATCCTGATACATCCAACTGCAGCTAGTCAGAATAAATGAGGTGAGCCAACTGTACCTGCACTGCATCTTTAGACCCAAGTGGCCTCTGCATTACACTGCACAGCACCATGGAAGGTTCAACAGTGGAGACAAAGTCTTCTCATGTTCATTCCTAATGAACACTGGAGCAAAGATAAACAGGAAACACCCTGATCCCAAGACAAGCCCTTGTCTTCCTTCAGTAACCAAGGACAGACATCCACATACCACGTACGTTCTGAAGTTCTGTCACCACCTTCCACGCACAGTTTACACAGCACACGGCTTGGCCCCAGCCCCTCATCCCTCTGTATAACATTGCCTCACTCATCTGTCATTTCTGTCTCAGGACACCACCAGCATAGCAGTTCCGCCATGGATCCATGTCCCATTTTTTTCCATCAGAACAGGCTTCCTACAGCAGCTCAAAACCAGAGCTCTGTAGTGAAGCCTCTAGCAAAACAGGTCTTCAAAGCTTTGTACCTCTGACTGGCCACACCTAGTCCTTGTACCGGAAGCCAGCCCAGTACAACTCAAAGGTAAAATCTTGCTTCATAAAACCCTAGAGATACAAAATGTAGACTTTCTCCCAGTTATTTATCTGTATTGATAAAAATGACCATCAGGACTGAAAAAAACCCTGTAGAACACTTTCTGATTTACTGTGCCCTGACAAGACTTCTATTCATTTTTCAGTCATTTTAAAGGCCATCCTTAGTGAATTATTCTGGCCCTCTCAGTGTTTTTCTGACAAATACAAGGCACACAAAAAATGAAACACTTTGTTTTCTAGTTCTCTGAACTGCATATATTTAAATCATTCATTTTAATTCTTTCACATGAGCATCACTAATATTGAGTCTAGACCAACAATAATTTTACACCTGCAAGCACATATTCTAGCTATGGCTGATGTTTTCAATGCTCTCCCTGTAAATGATATGCAAATTGCTGGCATTAAAACCAGAATCTCTTTGAAGTTATTTAAAGCTCAAATGTTTGACTTGATCTAGTCTTTCCCAAACTTCAACTATGTGCACAGCTTGAGCAAAACTGCAATCAGAACAACTTAAAATAATCAGAACAACAGGCCTTAAAACATCAGGGAACAATAAGACTCAGAGGAACTGTATAAGACAACCAAAAGGGCATTTCAGACCACTCCATAAATGTTTGTGACAGCTGGCATTATAGCTACAGTGCAAGGATTGCAGTTCCTCTGGAAAACACTTCAGCTCACAGGCAGATGGAAGACAAAGCATTATTCCTCATAAAAAGCTAGTAGGACTTTCCTACATTATGTCACAGGGCTCACAGTGCAAACAAGAATCTAGAAGAGTAAAAGATACATCTCTTTCCACAGAGCTTCTTAAGGAAACAGCATACATCTCACCCATTATTTATTAGATACTTGACAGCACTTAAGACTATGCTTTCAGGATTAAAAAAAACCAAAGGAAGCAACGTCTGTTCCGTGGCAGAGGTGGCAGAATTCTATAATCCTGCTGTCAGCCTAAATAGCTACATTTGCCATTTCCTCATGTAGCACTTGCATAAATTAGATTTTCAGTTCAGAAATACACTATGACAAAAAAATCCCACATTTTTACCTCGCAAACTTGCAAGTTAATCAAGGTTTCCAACAGCTAACAGTGAATCAGCCACACCTCTCTTTTTGAGATATTATTTCTAAATCAGTAGCATCTAGACAACAATTGCCCAGAGAAGCTGTGGATGGTTCATCCCTGGAAATATTCAGAGCCAGGCTAGATGGAGCTCTGAGCAACCTGGTCTAGTGGAAAGTGACCCTACCCCTGGCAGGGGGGCTGGCTGATCTTTAAGGTCCTTTCCAAGTCAGGTCATTCTATGATTCTGTGAACTGAGTGCTTTACATTCTTTCTTGGACATCTACACATAAAACTGATCCCCAGTTACAAACTACTGTTACTCTTCCCAAAGGTATCTGCATTACCAAATTACCACAGCATCAGTCTGCATCAAGATCCATAACGGGACAACAGAGATGAGGCAAATCTACATTACTTGCAAAAAATTTCCAAGCAGTATATGGTTATAGCACACCAATGTGTACCAGAGCCAAAAGTTTTAGCTGCTCTTATGAATATAAATTTTTCTCTCAAAACTTAAAAACACTGCAAGTAGCTATATTGGAAGAAGAAAAAAATCTAATTTAATTTTCTCGGTAGAAAAGCAACGTTAAGATCTGTAACCATAGCTAAATGCATCTGAAATTCTACTGATATCATCTAGTTAAAAGGAGGGAAACAAATATGATACAAAGAACAAAGAACAGGGATGCAAGCAGCAGGAGCTAAAAATTAAATTTAGCTACAGCTACTTTCAGAGCCCACATTGCCCAGAAGTATACAGACAGTATAGAAAAACAAGACATTTTTAAACAGTTGTGCTTTTGATAAAGCCAAGTCTCAGTACTAAGAACTATCTACATACTCCACCAGGCTTAAACACTGTGCCCTCTACTACAGCACAGAGAACAGAAAGGAGGGGGTGAAATGCACAAATACTAAACAAGTTAAGCAACCTGAAATACAACTGCATGGCATAGACAGTGCACATCCTAAACTGTAAGTTGGTTTTATGCACATTTGATGTGTCATTCTCACAAAGTGGCAATTTGTAAGCAAGCACACTCTATTACTAAATCAGGCAAATGTAGAATAAATGTAAATTCTATAGCCTAGGAACTTCATACAGAATTTACACTTGAAGTGCAATTAGGCTGGAGCTAATTCAAACTCAAATTGTGGGCTTAGTCTGGGTTAGTGTTTAACTGTTGTTCTACAGTAGAAACAAAATCTTGTCAAATGCTGTATTCAACCAGTCCCCACTAACACATAACCGAATGTTGCCACAAGTTCACCAACCAAAGAGAAGTTTATTTAGGGCAAGATGTCCTAAATAGTAAACTAGTAAACTATTTAAATTCTTATTTCTCCATGCTAGGCAGCATAATTTCCTATTTCTCCCACCTCTAAGGCCACAGAACCAAACCCATAGTTATTTCAGCAACAGTGTATCTCTGATGGCAGCCCAAAGCAATTAGATGATGGCCAGGTGTATATGGAGACTTGACTGCCCATTTCCTTTCTTCCTCCCCATTGTTTCTGTAGGTTAAACTGGCAAGCAAGGCTACAAAGTACCATTCTGTACCCTAACATAGCATGTAGGAGGGATAATTATTGTTTTCCTTTCTACTCCAGGAACCTATGAGACCCCCAAAGTTGGGGAACTATTGCACACCTGATGCTGAGCTGAAAACAGGATGGCACTTAATCAAGTAATGGCAACATTCTCAGTTCAGCCATTATGGGTCACTGAGCTAAAAATGAAGCCTGGCTAGTAGATCCAAAGGAAAGAGAACAACAAGAATTTCCTAGACAATGACAGAACCCAGGGCTGCACTTTTATCTGTTACCCATAGAGCTTTTTTTCTGTTCTGAACTCAACTTACAGCCTTCATATTGGAATCGTTTGTGATGACCACAGGAATCTCCAAAATCTGCCTCAGCTTTTGATTTGTCCTTGCATATGTCCAGCTTGCTGCTTTTAAAAAGACCATGACACATCAGTGCAGTAATCAAAATAGCCTTTTGATTTGTAAAATCCCTTCAAAACTTCTCTATCATTGCTTTTCTGTTAAGTCTGCATCTAGGAAATAGCAGGTTATCATAACTTCTCATTCATGAAGTAGAAAGATGGAGATAGAACAGACTTTGCAACAAACTGATGCCTGCTAATTCTTGGAAGTTTTGCCACAAACACCAATGAATTTATTTTAGGTGGAGCTAGTTTTCATTAGCTAAGTTCACTTCTAGTTTTTCTTTACTTCAGTCGGTTATGTTTTAATTACATTCTCATTTTAACAGCAGCTAAATTAAAAATAAGTCATGCCTTGCAGTTTGATTGCTAGTATTTTTATGAATTAACTTTTGGTTAAAAAATGCCCTTTTCCAACAGTTTGAGTTTACCTCTGTCATACAAAAGTGTATGAAACAAATGAGGGGCAAAAGAAAAAACCATGAGCTAAACCACAGTTCCTAAAAAAGGCAATGAATTTCTACTTTTTGGTCTATTTCCAGCAAAAGAAGATAGCTTTGAAGTAAGATCACAATTAATTCACAGTCTGAGTATGAATGTGTTCTTTCAAACTGCAAAAGTGAACATTTTCTTACCAATGAAACCCAGCTGAGAAAATTCTAGAATCATCCAATCTTCAGAAGCGAGCTGAAGCGCAAAATTTTTTATTGTGCTGAAATAATTCTGCTTGACAACAATGTCATCTTCAAGCTAGAGGAAGGTAGAAGTGATATCAACATTAAAAAAAGGCACTAGCAAAGCAATAGAAAAAAGTACAGCTAGGAAATACTGACTTTATTTGCTAACACATAGCCATGTATCTCTAATGCTAGCACAGATATAAAACAGACACCATAGCCTGGAATAATTATTTTAGGGATCAGTCTGTCTATTTGTGGAGAACTAATACAGAATCCTTCTTTAGTAAGAATCCACAAACACTTCTCAACTTACTTTAGAACACTGCTTTTCCAACTTCTTTCTTCAAAGGAAAATCATCCATGAAATAATGTTAGTCTAAGTGGCATCATCAGAACAAGTTCAATATCTGTATTATTTGTATTCACACAGAAATGTGACTGTTTACTCACAAATGTAAGAGCACTGAATGAGTTTCTCCTCTGAGACAAGAGGCTAAGAGACACAGTATCTGCAGAGGTAGGATTCATTTCACCTGTCCTACAGAAGCACAGGGGCCTAGTCCATAACCTCCTAGTCCAGGCTGCAGAACTGCCAACATGGGGTGCTACAATCCCTTTAATTCACAGTAAGTGCAGGCCATTGCTGCACTAGGGACCCTGCTTCTCCTGTCCTTTCTCACAGTGCAGTCATGCCCTCCCCCTTGTGCTGGCACTAATATTTGTGCCACTTCCAGTATCAAACCAGACTGTCACATGCTATTGGCTCTGCAGCTTCCCAGAGACCTGAGACTCCAACAGCTCTCAGAGAGAAGTCAGCATAGCTTTGTGAAAACTAGATGAGATGTGTGGGACTTTACACCCCAAGGACACAGGCACAAAATCTAAATAAAGATCATTAGTGCAGTTACTAAATCTGCAATACCTGTAGGTAAGATTTCTACTTCAAAGCAGAAACACATGATAGGAATAATTCTGAGCTAAACTGAAGAACTGCTTAACTCTATTGTTGGAAATCTCTTAAAAAAGAGAAAAAAAATCCCATGTCTATACACAACTGTCATATTAAAGTGACACTGCACTTTTAAAAGAAAATAAAAATAGATTTTAGCTTCATTTCCACTAAAAACTACGCTGGCTTTTTTTTTTCTTTTTTTGCCTAGGCAACTCAACAATAATTCATTTTGAGGACAAGGGAAAAACAGGTTTTAAGGTGCTTGGATTCCTTCATATTTTTTTTTCCTAGGCATCTTAAGAGAAGTGACATAGGATAAATTACTTTCTACTTCAGAGACAGTGTCCTCCTCAAATTACTTCTCCATATACCATAACTACCATACTTAATGCCCTCTTTAAATGATGGGATCAAGTTCTCTGTTCTGTGTTGGTCCTTCTGATGTGTCCAACAACATAATTTCTGGAGACTCATTTGAAAACTTGTCTCAAAATAAAGAAGAGAAATTTACCTGAATGTAATAAACCCCCTTTTTCTGGGCATACATCATAAGAAAACAATAATCCAAGTTTTGTTTTGTTCTCCATCTGAAATTAAATTGAAAGCTTAAGGTTTATGAAAAAAGGTTATTTCAATACATACTGGCAATATAAAGTAAAGTTCATTATGAAGAATGGCATATTAGTGAAATGTTAGGACAGCTGCTTTTGGCACTGTTTCCTCAGGAAATCCACTGTCTCAAAAAAAAAAAGGAACAAAGCTTTCACATTATGCTTTAATACAGACATCAAATTGGTATAATTTGAACCTGACTTTGTGACAACTACCTGAGCTTTCACTAAAAACACATGTGCATTTAAAATAGTAATTCAGCAAGAACTACTGGGTTTTACCGTGTATTTCACGATGGAAAACAGCAAATGAAAGAGTCCACATACAGGAATAAAAGTATATCAAAAGTCTCAGTTCTCCTCCCAGAATTTAACACTAAATAGATTCAATCAAGCATAGGCTCTGATCATACACAGAACAGCATGTAGCTAGGAATGAGATGGATTCACAGAGCACTTTTAGCATCCCCACACTTGCAAGAATTACAGTAAGAAAACATTTCAAGAATTCACATCCCACTTGCCGTTTTATAAACAACAGAAGTGTGGGTGTGGGAGGAGATGGGAAAAGATCTGGGGGAATAAACCTACCTCACTCTCTCCTTTGAGTCTCCAAATGTTTCTTTCAAGTTTGTCAAGTCAGGATAATATGTTGCAGGAGGGGCTATTACTTCCACCAAGCCAGAATTGATCTCTGTAGAAAACCTGTCAACAGAAACATTCTGAAGCCACTCAGAGAGATTCTGAGTCCTGCAGTTCCTGCTCACTTTCTGTTGGAACAGTTATCGTGTCTGGTTATGAGGACTGGCTCAAATGAGGCATGTAAAAGAACAGTAGTAGAGAAATAACTATTGTTTTCCTTAGCATGTCCTTCAGAGCACTATTGCCTCTTGCAAATCAGAATCAAACTGCATTCTAAACATTTTTTTGGTGTTTTCCCAGAACCAAGTCATTTTTTTCTGAAGTTCTCTTTGAACATAGAGAATACAAGGCCCTAATACAGATGTCACAAATTTCCATTCATATTTAAATAATCCCATCTATTTATGGTGCATCAGATAATTTAATCCCACTTACTGTTTTACAGTTTGACTGAAATCACTGCTTTTTAATTTGTTCTCTCTTACTTTTTTATTCAGAAGTCCAAAGCTCCACAAAACAAAAAGGCAGGATCTCTTATTTTCAGAATATTTTTAATTGCTTATTACAACCTGACTTAGTTTATCATCAGTAACTAAGAAGTCCCCAAATAAAACTACAACTTACTCTCTTTCCAGGCTTGCAACAACACTGTTAACATAATCAAGATCAGTCTGGGGAAAACAAACAAAAAAATTAATAGATTACTTGATAGTTCTGGAGTTACATGTCAAAAGAACAAAGTAAAATAAATATTGCTGGTGATTGTCCTTGGAAATCACTTTCATTATGTAAGATATTGGAGCAATACAAGAACACATCACACATGTAACTATGTCTTACCTCTAACATGAGATTTTTTTTTGTAAACAGAGAAGAATAATTATCCCATATCTGCACTTAACAGAAAATTGTTAAAACTCACACTCTTGATGACAAAATGATTGCAGAGTGTTTGTGTAGGAAGAACTTCAAATTATTGTACAACAACAACAACAACATATACGAGAATATTACCAAAGAAATTATTCTGGAAAACAGTGCATTGAACACACACACACACATTCTTCTTTCAAAAGAATCTCCTAAGCTTTGCATTTAAAGTAAATGCCCTAACCACAGACAGCAGTGAACCTGCTGCCTTTCTGCTTAGGGTCATTTATTTGCATCAGAGACTAAACCTGAGGGACTACCAATCCTATCAATCACTCAGTTCTCATATATGCAACAATTCCAAAAATTACTTGTTGGTGAAAATACAAATCATGACATTCTGGAAAAGTCTAGATCATCTAAATTGCTAGCACTGGACAATTATTCAACCTGGCTGCACACATGCATTCCAAGAAAAAAGAATTTGTGAACTCATAAATGTGACTGAAACCCCTGGTCTTTGTTATACTTATTAATCTACTGATTTGACATACTGTTTACATTTCTGAAAAGAATAGTCTACAAATCAAGCCGGATTCTGGCTCATGAGGATTCTGGAGAAAGAGTTGTTTTTGAAATGCCAGAAACAAAGGAACAGTTCATATTTTTTCTGATGAATTTGTAACACAGGATATCATTAAAGGATTATACACAGAGAATAAATCCCTCCCAAGCCTTTCTACAAAACTGTTAATCTTGTTGGATAAAGGTGCTCACCCTTCGTTCTTAAAAAAAAAAAAATCACCATTTCTATTTTTAAAGATATATTTTTATGAAATCAAGCATAATGCTAGTGATGCATGCTATTCAAAAAGGACAACAACAGCAGTGAATTTCTTTCAAAAAGCAGGTTTTAAATACCACAAGAACATGTAAGTAGAAAGTATTTCTCATAATTTTGTCATACATATTTTCTCCCAAAGTGCTATGCCAAGTGCTGGGGCAGAAGTTCTAGTAAGGTGGTACGGTGCTCACAATTTAAAACTCATCTCACACTGAGTTCCACACAAGGAGACTCGCAAGTCCATATGGACCTTTGTATATCACTGTTTAAATACTTTTATGGATTGTTCATACACATTTAATAGAATGGAGTTAGACATAACTTCTTCTGTTTTGTGTAACAGTTGCAAATCATAGTAACCTAATGACTACCTAAAAATAATTTTAGTATATCCATCTTTAACTGAAGCATTCCTTTTTCTCTCTTTTCAAAACCTTTTATACGTTAAAAATACAGAAACTGCAGTTCAATCATCATGTGAAAAGACAAAAATTTGCATTTCAGTTGGCATGCCAAATTTCAATTACCCAGTCCAGCATTAGAAACTCCAACACTTCTAATATAGTCCATACCACAACTGCATAGAAAAACATAGGATTTATACATATATATATATATACACGTACACACACTCAGCAGAAATACAACTAGTTTCTATTCAGTTTTCTAGAGACTAAAATAAATGCCAAACTTCATGCCAACTGGAATCATATATTTGATCGCAAGCCCCTGCCTTATTGCACAACTCCTTAGTGTGAACGTCGTTTTGACCTATTTTTCAGTCTACTATGAAGCCTTGCTACCGCTTGTAAAACCAAGGTTACCTGAAATAACCTTGTTACTGCATGTAAAAACAGAAAACATCACAATCAGAAAAAAAAAGTCCAGAATAAGAGTTTTTTCCTTATTTCCCACTATTTATTTGCATGCTTCAATGAAAGGCTGGCAGTTTCCCCAGTCAGAACTGCAACCACAATAGGCTCAAACTTAAAAGATGCAGCTTGAAGTCTTCCAACCACCTACTGTAGTCTTGGCTGTCACAAAAAGTTAAGAACGTTTAGTCTCGCTGCTATGAACATAAGATACAGAAAATACCACTGCTGGCTTAATAGGCAACCTTTACTTTTCAATCAGCAATCACTGTATCACTGTAGTGCAAAAGCAGATGACACTTTTAGAATGAAAAATTAGAATGCAGATTAGAAGAGTTGATTTAAAACACTGGTGTTCTGCCATAATTTTTAAATACACAGTTGCATTTATATCTACCGGCAGCTTATGAGATTGAGAACCAGGATTTCAACGCAAAGCCCTTCCCCTCAGATTGACAACTGTCCTCTTCCCACTTAAGAACTTCAAGAGACAATCAACTCCTCCCTTTGCTCAGTCTAACACTAAGTAGGATCTTTGCCAATACCCTTTGGAATGGACATGTCCCAAGAAGGTGGCACTTTTAAGTTAATTCACACAACATCATGAAATAAGTATGAGAATACACAACAAATTTGATCTAGCTGTGACTACACACATGGGAAGAGTTAAGTAGACAAAACTTTGCAGGATAGCAATGGAAGGAAATCTGGAATAGCTAAATTAAATCTAAGAACCTTTCAAGTAGTATCAATAAACTCAGTCAGCAGCTTAAAAGCAACAGGAAAAAAATACATTATTAATCAAAATCTATTCTCCATTTTAAAGGAATTAAGTGTTTACTGCCCTGACAATGCAAGATACAAGGTCCTCTTTATCAACCTGAAGGACACAAGACTGTTCATTTCCAAGAATCTTAAACAGGACAAGACAAATCCAGATTAATACAAAGAAGCCACTAAGAAAGAAAATGTGTTACCTGTTCTTTAGGCTTCTAGTGAAAATCATCTGGTAGATAACAGGTCAGCTTTGGAGTGAACCTGACCAATTTAAAATCTATTTCATGGTATCAGTGCTGCTTGTAACTATTGAAATTAAATGTTGCTGGTGATCACAATGATACCATGAATGCTTTTGTCTATCAAATCCAAAGGCATTACTAAAACAATAATTTTTTCTTACTAAAACTCCTATGGCTGAAGAGCAAAAGAAATCCCTAGGAATTCTGGACCCCTAAAAAAGAAGCACAAATTAACATTTTAAGACTAAATCCCTTTAAAGTAAATAAGAGCAAAATTCTTTTAGGCCTCTTCCGTTAGAGTTAACATTTCCAGCCACAAAGAAGCATCTTATCAACGACTCACATGAAGCCTTACAGTCAACTTTGTCCTGGTGAGTGGATCTCTGAGAACAGGGATGGTTATTTTAGCACCAGCAGTTCAAGTCTTTTGGCCTGTTCTTTCTTCCTAGTCACATGAAATTACTGATCTTCAAGAGAATGCAAAACACTTGAAGTAAGACATCTTCCTTTATTCACAGCAGACCAAGGCTGGATCCCCATCAGCACTTTGCTTCCAGCAAAGGCAGCCGTGAAAAGATACATAATTAAGAATAAGAACAAGATAAGCACATACAGCACCCCCTCCTGCTACCACTATCCACGCTCCAACTACTTTCAGTTCAGGTTACTTCCTGAGACAGACGTGATTTTGTGTATTTAATATTCCTCAGTAGACTCATCTTCAAGGTACCTCATTAGCATCCCCTTGAGCCTATCTAAACTTTCAATAAGAAAAGAAGGTTCTAGTTTATAAGATCTGTGGAGTTTCATAAGCCAGTGAACATGGCTGTACCTAAGGTTTAATTCTTTACATCAACAATTTTGATGAGAAATGCATGCAGAATACTTTGATAAATCTCTCTTTATAAATGGCCTCTGTCTGTTGTAGAACAAACTAAAGTTGCAGACTGCCAGTGAAATAAATGTTAAATTGTTAAGTTTTCCTCTGTTTTTGTAAAATACTGTACTGCAATTGTCTAAAGTGTTTTTCCATAGTGCCGGTGAGGCTGCACATCAAGCTTGTGATTAATCTAACATTTGTCTGAACAGACATCATTATTCTCAACAAATGCAGAAAGAACCAGAGCAGCAGTGAACTTTCCAGTCTTCTTTATTGGTTTTTATGAGTGAGTGTGCACACGGCAAAGCAGCAGAATACATTAGCCAGCAGACAAAATGAGAGGTTAGAAAGTTCTGATGAACAGCTAGCCAAATGTCCTACAAAACCAAGATTTCTACTTTTAAGAATCAACCCTTTTATACTGTTAAATCTTGACTTCATAACCTCAAGAATGACAGAAGGTAAACTGTTTCTAAAAATGTAAGAAAAATCATAGCATTTTAAAAATGATTTTAAAAATGATTTTAAATTATTATATTAAATTTATTTACTGTCCTAAGTGGTAGATGCATAGAAAAAAAAAATGCAACCACAGAATCTCTCAAGCTAAAAAAGACCCAAAAGAATCATCAAGACCAACATGCAGCTCCTCAAACAACTACCTAAAACTAAACCATACGACTAAAGGCATAATCCAAATGCTTCTTGAACTCTGACAAGCATGGTGCCTTGACCACTTACACTGACTGCCTATTCCTGTGACTGACCACTTGGCGAAGAAACTTTTCCTAGTGTCCAGTCAACTTCCTGGGATGCAGCTTCACACCATTTTCATGTGTCCTGTCTCTGGTCACCAGAGAAAGGACATCAGCATCTCCTTCTCCACTGGCCACCTCAAGGAAGCTGTAGACTGTGATGAAGTCACCTCTCAGTCTTCTCCTCTAAGTTTAACAAACCAAGAGACCTCAGCTGCTTCTCCAAAGTCTTGCCCTTGAGGCCTTTCAGCATCTTGGAAATTTATCTAGACTGTTAGATTATCCAGATCTCAACTCCTAATAGGGGTAAGTCTTACATAATTCAAGAATACCTTTCAAAGAATGAAAAAATCCCTGAGAAACTAGCATGCTAATCTGCATAGTGTGGTCATTTCATTGCTTACTAATTACAATTTTTTTTGATCTTTCAT